GGCGGGCGCCGGGCCCCCCGCCGCGGCTCCCGGCCGACCACGCGAGCGCACACCGAGGCTGCAGGCCAGTGAACCGGCCACCTCCCCAAATGCGCCCTCAATGCGCAAGCGACGGGGGCCCGCGAGAGTGCGGACCTTCCTCACGCTCCCCTTCCTCCCTGGAAACCCAGGGTTGGGGGGGCGGGGTTCCTGTGATCATTCTCGGCCCCCCGGAAGCGCTGGGTCTGGTGCAGTCAAATTCAACTCGAGTCCTCCGGGCTGCGCTTCAGGCCTGGAGACGACCCTTCTCCAGGAGCCTGGGATCCTCCCCTCCCCTCCCAGCGGGTCCAGGATGAGGGCAAGTTGCAAGTTGATATGAAGTGGTCGGTGCCCGGCATGTTGAGCGTTCAATGACTGCAGAGCAAACGATCTGGGACAAATTGGAGGGCCTTTGCTTACAGTAAGACACAAATCCCCAAACGTCCCCAAGCTAATGTGGAGAACAAAGGAAGGCTTTCCACGTTTAGGAAAACTGTCTTCTTCCCAAGGATGAACCTGGCTATGGGAGAGCACCTTTCCTGGCACAGGAGAAAGACTTCTGAGCCTTCAATTACCCAGGGGCGGGTTCGCGACGCCGGAAGACAGGGTAATCACGTCCCTGGGCGTGTCGCACTGAGTGCTATTGACGCGCAGATTTGGTCACACGGATAATCATGTTTGCTCTAGATACTGAATTAAATCTGATCAACTAGAGGGAGCAGGAAAGTCAGCTGGGACCCTCCCTGGCCTGGCCTTCTCCCCCGACCCCTCCAGCCTCAATGGTGGAACTCAGGAGAGAACAAGAGACATACTTTCCAAATGGGCTGGCTTTCAGTCCCCAGGCGCCTCAGAGCGCCCGCGGGCTCCGAGCCACCGGGCCGCAAGTATTTTCGGAAATCCGGGAGAAAGAGAAGACGCATCCTCCAATCGACCCGGCCCCCTGATACGCTCCCCCGCGTGGCCAAGTGTGCGCCAACATCTGCCAAGGAGATCTGCTGCCGGCGACCAGGGTGGGATGGCATCAGTTCCCCCACGGAAGCAAGGGTGGACGACCCCTACCCCTTCGCAGGGCGGGGTGGGGGGGTGGGCGCTTGCCCACTTCCCGGCCGGGGCGCGCACCCCGCCTCCGAACCTCTGCTTCCTAAAAATTCTTCCGGCCATGCGCACGCTACCGGGAGGAAGGCGAGGGTCCCGTCCCAAGAGCCTGGGCAGGAAGGGTGGCAGTGGAAGGGGAAGACGCGTTAGCTGGGATCGCCGGTGACCCTTGTGCCCTGGATCCCCGGGGCAAAAGCTGGAGGAGGCTGCAGCGTCCCCTTCCCTCCCCTCTTCCCGGTCCAGGACCCTGCGGCCCTCCGCACAGCAAAGCCCAGCAGTCCTGCACTGCACCCCCCACCTGCCCCAGGCCTTGGAGCGTTATCCTGGGCCTCGCCGGCCTGCGGATTTTGAAAAGAGTGGGGGAACAGAGAAAGCGACCGGTCTTAACCTCAGCCACCCCCTTTTCCCAGCGCCAGGAAAATCAAACGCAACAAAGTGAAAGTCATCAAGTGTAGTGGCTTCAACAGCTTCTTAGGCTGAAGGAGGCACTCGTAGGTTTGGGCTGATGAGGGGGGCTTGCCCTCCCCGCCTCGGCGTTTCCCAAAGTCACTTTTCCTCCCGAGGCCCGGAGGGCTGCGGTCAGAGAGGTCCCAGAGAGGGCGGGCGACCCTGGGCTTCCGGCCCAGCTCACAGGCCGGAGGCCCAGCCGTTCCTCCCGGCCAGGAGTCCTGAACGCGTGCGGCGGAGGGACTGGCCTATTAGTCGGGTGCGGCCCCTCCAGGGAGCCCACTCCCCCTCCGGTGCCCTGGCCTCGGTGCCCGGGGAAGAGGCGCCGGTGGTGTGTGGCGAGCGGGTCCGGCCGGCTCCTCGCCCAAGGCCTCCAGTAGGCGCAGGGCGACACAGAAAAACGGGAGGACCGGGCTTTTTTTCTCTTTTTTCTTTTTAAACACAGGATTTTTATTAAAATTATTTTAAAAAATCGAAAGCTTTCAGCGCCCGGCGCTCTGGGGGAGCCTCACAGGACCGCTGAGCTCCAAGTTTCGGGGCTCTAGGGCCGGGGTGGGGCGGACAGGGGAATTCCTGCCGACTCACGTTTTCCTTTTTCATATTTGAGAAATGTTTGCACTGAACAAAATGAAAAAGAAAAGAAAAAGAAAAAAGTGGGGGTAACCCAAACATAACCAAACCAAAACAGATCACGAAGGAGGAGTTGGGCCCCAAGGGGACAGGACCGTCCTGAAGGTCATTTTGGCAACAATCACCACCGATATTTACAACGAAAAGCGAGATTCGCCACCAATTGTCAGAACGTTTACATGGCCATAAATATTTAGCATTTTCTTATTTTTTTTAAAAAAGGAGAAAATCCTCTATATTTTTAAAGTGTTCGCCACTTGCTTTAGAAGACGACGACGGCTGACAATATCGCTACTCACACAAACATATTTTACAAAATTCACGAAAGCGGGGTCGGGGGTCGGTCTCTTGCTCGTTTTCAAGTGACGACACGAACGCCAGGACGGTTCGGTCACCCTCGGGGAGAGGCAAAGAAGCGGAGCTGCGCAAACATTCTGTAAACACGGCCTGGAGTTCAGTCCTCTCCAAAAGGTCAGGAAGAGGGACGGGGCAGAGCCAGTGGGTGGACTCCGCCTCTCCAAGGAGGCGCGGGCAACCTTGGGCGCCTCCCCGCAGGAGCCAGAGTCAACTCGACTCCAGAATAATTATAATAATAATAATAACCGCCGCAGGGCCACAGCCTCCTTGCCGCCGCCGCCGCGGTGGGGCCTGGGCCTGGGGCCGCGAGTCCGCAGGGGTGTTGCTCACCAAGTCCACTGCTGGGCCGGGACCAGGGGGTGTGCTGTCGGGTACTGGGGGGCACTGGCCGAGCTGTACTGGGCGTTGTATTGCATGTGCTGCAGCGACTGCGCACTGTAGGCCGAGAAGGGGATGCCGGCCTGGAAGGTAGCGGCGGCCAGGTCCTGGGCTTTGAGCGCGTGGCATGGCTTGCCGTCCCTGACCAGGACGGGCACGGCCACCCGGCGCGGCGAGGGCAGGGGCGTCACCTCCATACCTTTCTCGGCCCGGGCGCGCTTCATTTTGTAGCGGTGGTTCTGGAACCAGATCTTGACCTGCGTGGGCGTGAGGCGGATGAGGCTGGCCAGGTGTTCGCGCTCGGGCGCTGACAGGTACCGCTGTTGCCGGAAGCGCCGCTCCAGCTCGTAGGTCTGCGCCTTGGAGAACAGCACGCGCCGTTTCCTCTTCTTGCCTGCGTCCCCTCCGCTGCCCGAAGTCTCCTTGTCATTGTCCGGTGACTCGTCGGCCGAGGGCTCCGGGGACTTGGAGCTGGAGTCCTGCGGGGGCGCGCCGGCCGCCAGCCCATGCACTGGGGGGAGGAGGAGAGAGAAGCGCGTCAGGCGCTTGGAGACCGCGCGCAGCCGGTGCGGGACCCCGGAGCACCGGTGCGCTCCGGCTTCGCGCCTGGCAGCCGGGTCCCGCCGCCTCCGCGATGACTCTGGTTCTGCTCCACGCCTGACTGAGCCGTCGGGGCCTCCCGGGGTATAAAAGGGGAATAGGTGGGAAGGAAGGCTCCGGGCTCGCGTTTCTAGGGGTTCGGACAGCGTGGGTGCGAATTTGGGGGGGCAGCGGAGTGCGGAAAATCATCGCGGGTTAAGGGCTCCGGCCCCCTTAAGCAGTTTCCTCTCCGGAGAGACGTGGGCAGATTTTTAAAAGAAAAACTCCACAATCCTAGCATTGATCGGCTCGTCCATTTAAGGCAGGTTTTTGGGGGCTTTCGCTTCTGCGTTCGGGCTTTCTGGACACCCCCCGCCCCGCACAAAGCGTCCTCTATAATCGCGCAGGGGGCAGGGTGAGCTATTTATATCCGGGCCACCCGAAGCCTCCCCCACCCTCCACCCGTCCCC